GAAAGAATATCCTACAGTGGGATCCAGGTCCTTTCAGAGAAGAAGCAACCTCTCCTGCATGGTTGCTAGTTAGAGTTGCTTAGTCTGCCATAAATTTCGTCCCATAGTTGAATCATCCTTATGTGCTTGTTTACCATATACACTCGGACGAGTCTGCAGAGTGGAAGATGTCAATTACAGATTTGATGACTATATGCTTGTTTCATGATGATACCCATCTAAATGCTACTCCAGCTCAAGTTTTGCCAAAAAAAAGTATGGATACTTATTCTGCTAGAATGTGCTTTGGAACTTTAACGTCTGTAGGATTAACATATCGGGAGATTGCTGCATTTTTACTACTTACGAAGTTGTTAACCTGACTACTATGAGAAAACAGAAGCTTCGACAGATGAATTTGAAGGTCTCTCAACTCCTGGAGACTGGCACAGGAACTCCTCACCAGACTATTTTCGTGACTCGTGCTATAGTCCCGCGACTGGTCCGCAATTTGGGCCAGACGCGGAACTCTCTTAGCAACTGGGACCAGGTCAGAACATTAAATTGAGGGCCATCCAACCTTCCTTATTATGTGGATTTTGCACCTCCCTTCAAAAGTGGACCTATTCCTAATTTCCGAGGGCTTAGATATTGGAATCATGTGTTTAATGTTTCAGCTTTTGACGAGTTTTTTATCGGGACAGCCCTGGGCGTCCTTTTTCTCCCTTCTAGGGTTGTATCCAACGGTGGGTGGTGCTCTGGTTGTTGCTCATCTGAGGTGGTGATCTCTTTCCAAGGGGTCGAGCGGTGCTCCGGCTATAACTCGTTCCTGTAGAGGTATTTATCTCTGACTTTTCATCCTCCGCATTCCTTCCTTTGCAGCTGCTGTTGTTCCTGGCCTTCCGCTTCGCTATCATCACTCCATGCCCTCCTCCACCTTCGTTGTCGCAACCCCGCCTATCTTTTTTGTTGTTGTTTACCTGTGTCTGACAACCCTCCGTTGCTGCAGCCGCACCCTAACAACCTCCGGGTTGTTGTTTCTGCAGTTCCAACCACCAACAATGCCTTCCCCTCCCTCCACTGTCATCGCAGTTCCAGCCCTCTGCTTTTTGTTGGCGCCACCCAGAAATCCTTCTCATTAATATTAACTACTGGTCGCCCTGCTACATTGCTGCCGCGTCCTAGAACACCACTTTTGCTGCTTCTTATCTGCTGCCCGGCGTTTCGCTCTTGCTGCCACCGCCCAAAACAACCTGCCATCTCGCAGTTCTGGCAGTGTCTCACCTCCCTTTTGCTGCCACCATCGCTCCCTTACTGCTATTCCACCATCCATCCTTCAAAATGCCTTTTTGCACCCCTTTGAAGGTCCAAACCCTCGCCAATCGCCACCCCTGCCCCGAGATTCAACCTTGCCATGTGTCGTGATCGAATTGATGTTAGTTCCCATTTCAATCATGTTGTGTTTGTTATTGTTTCCCTTTCAAGTGTGCTGGCTGCAACTATCTATTTATTTTCAGTAAGAATATTTGCTTTTTCCACTGTGTTTTTGATTAACTCCGGTATCATGATTCAAAATGATCTCTCCGAAACACAATATTAACCAAATTTGTAGAGCCGAAGGACTAAAATGGGATCATATGTGTTACATTTTCTACAAAACTGACCCTTTTGAATTAGTTTTATAATTTTGATTTACAAAATTAGAGAAATGTGATGCACTGGATTAAATTGACAAAACATAAATGTTTGAGGGATTATTTAAGAATTTAATCTGATGAATAGGTGAGAGTCTTTACTAGAGGGCTGTTTATTGAGTTACCAAGATTAATGATTGGATCCAATAGTTTGTAAATTATCAAAAACATACATACCATCCAATTCCACATACTTTGCATATTGTTCATTAACATTTTATTTAATTTTTATTTATTCAGGAAAAAATATCCAAGATGACATGATCATCATTTTAGGAACTGGTGATGAATCAACATGCTCTGCAGGCACAGAGCATGAGATCAAGCAAGCAATCCTACAGGTTCTGCAAGGTGAGTTAGGCCTCCATGTTATTACTGGCCATAAACCTGACCTAAACATCTCTCAGGCAGTGAAGAACCCCAGCAACATAGCTGAAGATAAATATTTGCAAAGAAGACCCCATTATTCAGGATTATTAAAAATCACAAAGGAATCACTTTATCAGTGGCTGCAAGGAAAGGAATTTACTCAGATTTGGTTCAACAGATCCTTCATTTTCCTGGGCAGGCATCAATCGGTAAGCAAATGATAAAGTTTTTTATTTTTTATTTTGAGGCATTTACATACATAACATCCAATTCGTGCGTATTTACATATTGAACACCAAGAACTTACTTTTTACGCTTATGCCAGCATAATCTTTCATATCATATCAGAAATATCACTGTTTTAACTTTTACAAAGTTTAGAACATCTTTTCACGGATGGATGTGGTGTTGTATATGTAAAAAAATTGAAGTTTAGGCGTTAGATATGTAAATACGTGGCAATTAGATGGTATATTTGTAAATCTTCCTTCAAATTAAAGTGTTTTCTCACCTCTTCTTGTCTCTCTTTTTCTCTCACTTGGTTCTTATTAAATAGTTTCATGACACCCATATTTAATATATTTTTTTCATAGATAAGATGGCATGCATGTAAATAATGAAGTTGAGGAGTTAGATATGTAAATATATAGGAATTGGGTGGTGTGCATGTAAATCTTCCTTCAGTTTTATTTTCTCTGTATTTTGATTTGACACCATGTTTTATCATGTTCAAAGTATATTTTAATTTTCTTATTTATTAAATATTGATTAGTGAATATTAAAACGTGTGAGGAGACGCAGTGCTCGGTGGGGGAAAGTATTAGTTATTTTTTTAAAAAAAATTATTTAAATATTAATTTGAATGATTTAAAAAAAAAATAGAGCATAGAATAAAAATTATTGCAGACAAGACCTGAATACTTAGGGTCCGTTTGGGGCGCGGTGGCGCTTTGAAAACGCACATGACATGTTTGGGTAAATTGCGTTTTGACAGTTTTTGTGTTTTTAAAACGTTGATAACAACGTTTTTACACTGCATCTATTCAAGTGTTGTGACAGCTTTCTGACAGTGGTTTAACTTTTTCAAAAACAATAAAAATTTGTAATAGCTAACGCACATAGTTTATCAATGATTTTTTTTTTAATAAGATTTTCAGCAATTATTCAATAAGCTGCAGCTGTCCCAAACAGTCTCTTAGTTTTATTATAAAAAATTTTGTTTGTAATTTCTTTTATTATTATTATTATTATTGGTTGCCTGTGATCAGACTTTTTTGTTGAAAAAATTGCATACATAACCACATAATTCTTATATGCTTGCATGCCTACGCCTCACTTCTTATGTTATGTTAGATTTGGGTGGTATGTATGTAAATATCAAATCTTAAGTGTTAGATATGCAAATATATAAGAATTATTATATGTCTGTAAATATCCTTTTTTATATCTTGTTTGCTGATGACAATATTATTGAACATTTATAATATAAAAATGCTTATTCTAATTAGCCTAATTATATATATATATATATATATA